TGAGAACCTATGTGCGTCAGAGCAACCTCCCAGGAATCCTTTCCTTACAAATCCTCTCCGCCGTGCACGCTCAGCCTTGCCATGCTCCTTCTGCAAATTCAGATGCTCATCGCGCACCTGCTGGCACTTCCTGTCCAGCTCCACATCACTCAACCGCTCAAACAAGGAAACACCTTTGCCCTGGCCTCCGAAGAATTCCATCATCCAGTCTGGAAGCAATGCATGCACCTTATCACAGCTACCAATCTTAGCATAACGCAATACAGCTTCTCCCAGAAAACGCGCCAAGGGTAAAAGGTCGGCCTGGAAGCTGACCGCTCGTGCCATATCTTCCCAACTCAAGGTCTTGTCAACGGCCTTGGGTATGAACTTCTTCATGCAAAGAACGTGCTGAGACCATCTGTTCGCCACCATGTAGGCTCTCAACTTGTCCCCCTGCTGCAATCTACGTCGAGGAGGGGCCCACTTGGAGCACACGAGCCTGGTCGCCACTGGCCCCGCACGCCCAGATGTGGCCACTGCCTCGGGTCCCTCGCACATGTCATATACACCTTGCAGCTCGAACTCGATATTGGCCATCATGATATCCCAAGCTGCACTGATGTCTGCCTCATTCTCCGCCAAATAGATAGCCTTCCCCACCGCGCCCCAGTCCAAGGGGAACCGTGGGCAGCCGATCGGCGGAGCCTTGGGAAAAGGGGCTGGCTCGCAAACGGCTTTGCACCAGCGATCCATATCATTGGCCAACACCTGAAAGCTCACAGGCTTGTGAACCTTGACCGTTGAGGACTCCACCACCTTGGGCTTCCTCAACCTCGTGGATAAGTTGACGCATGCAAGACCGAAATCAATGATCGACCCAGGAAGCTCCGCCACGCAAGTCGGTGAACCAGGAGCAAGCACGTACCCACCAACTCCATCACGAATGGGTCTACTGATCTGGTCGGGCGTCAGGTTCCAGTCTCCCAATGCCACCCAATCTCGACCGATGCCATTCAACTGCGCGCAATAGTTCGCAATCTTCAGCAACGTCGCTTCATTCTCGGGAGACAAGCCCACGCCCGAAACCAGGTATATTGCAGTCGCAGTCAGGCCTCCTGGAACTCCCCAGGCGACATCAGCGGCGACGATCCTCCCAGCCTCGAGGACAGGGCATGGAAGCAAGGGAGGCGCCTTCACGACAATATGGCTCTGCGTCAGGATCGCCACTCCTCCTGACTTACCATCTGAGTCCGTCTTGTTGGCACCTTCGTAGATGCCATGATATCCCAAATCCTTCAGGTGACGCTGGAGGGATGGTAGGTCCTCCTTCATAGTCTTGTGCTCCTGCGCACTCAAGATCTGCGCAGCGCAATTCTCTAAGAACGCTTTGAGCGGAGCGGCTCCGCCAACATTCGCCGATAACAACTCACCCTTTAGGCTCGTCGTCATTGCCTCTAAATTACGATCGCCCGTTTCCCAAGCATGACATGCGAGCTCACAACTCATCCTTATCTGCAACCTTCCCCTTCTTGGCCGCGGGTGGGAGGAAGTGCAGCGACGACTCTGCAACCCGCTTGGCAGCGCCACGCAGCCCAGGCAGATCAGCAGATCAAGCGTCACCCAGTAGAGGCCCCAGGTGCTCACGCAGCTGCTCCTCGGATGCCTTGGCGATGCCCTCGTCGATCTGCTGCTGCGTCTGCGGCGCGGGGGTGCCGGGCACGGAGATCGGGGTGTCGGGCACGGCCTCCTCCACGCCATCGCCTGCGCCCTGGGCAGGCTGCCGCATGGCCTGCGGTATGGCCGACGCCAGCGCTCCAGCCAGCTGCGAGCACTGCTCCTGGGCCACCCCATGTTGCGAGAGCAGCCTGCCCAGCGCTTCGACATCGATCGACATGCCAGGCACCTTCTCGCCGAGCTCCGCCTTCTGCGGGGCGCCCCCGCACTTGGCCGACAGCTCCTGCATCTGCAAGCCCAGCGCCGCGACCTCGCCCTCCTGGGTCTGCATCTCCGCCTCGGCCACCAGCAGCTGCTCCTCCAGCTTCTTCCGCTGGTCGTGCAGCGCGGCGATGCCATCGCGCATCTTGTCCAGCTTCTGCTTACCAGACTTGAGCCGCGCCGACAACGTCTGCAGCTGCGCGTACATGGGCCTGGATGCTTGCAACATCTGGTGTATGATCTCCTTCTCAGCGCGTAGCCCCTGCAGGTAGGCACCGCACTTCCCGTCGCTGGCGAACTTGCCAAGCACCGCCAGCTGCTCATCAATCGTCTTGAGTCTGTGCCGCAGCTCGGTGGTCTCCGCCTCACTGAGGCTCTCGCCCAACGCCTCGGCTCCAGAACCCTGCGAGTCCACGGACATGGCGGCCGCGTCCGACGGAGGGGCCGCCGCAGCCCCATGCGTCTTGAGCCGCTTGACCTCTGACTCAAGCTCCTTGATCTTTGCAATCGCATCCTTGTAGTCCTTACCCTTCTGCCACGGAGGGCCCCCCCCCTTTCCGAAAGGATGGAGTGGGTGGCCCCACGTGGCACTTGAAGCAGGACGATTTCCACACAGGACATAATGCACACTTCTTGGCGTCGGGGTGATTCCACCATGCGTTTCCCGTGCGGTCGTTAATGCAAGACTTGCACTCCCAGCGCCGCGCGTTCTGCTGCCCCCGCGCCGCCATGAGGAACTGCTGGGAGCTGAATCCGCCCCTGCGCTGGCAGAGACGGCGAGCGGGCCTCCCGACACGGTCAAGAGACAGAGTGTGGGGGCCCAACTCCCGCAGTAAAGGCACGAGAAAACGACTGCTGGCCGCGGACTAGCGGTATCCGTTCGGTCCCCTGGGGAACAAAGCATCTTGAGCCAAAGTGGCTACGGAGAGGAGGAGGAGGAGGAGGATAGGAGGAGGAGGAGGAGGAGGAGGAGGAGAGGAGGAGGAGGAGGAGGAGGAGGAGGAGGAGGAGGAGGAGGAGGAGGAGGAGACGGGAGAGGGATCAAGGGGAAGCTCCACCCTGCGAGGGACTCTCCAGCCGCGATAGCGACTGGAAGTGTGTGCCAGGTCTGTTGAAGAGATTTCTGGGATTGAGCGCGACTCATCATGCATGAACATCGTGCGAAGTATTGTCTTGCCGCCTACCGCGCCTCTCGCATCCGTCCATCCATTGAGGGGCTTGAGGAAGCTAGGCTTGCAGTCAGGGACAGGAAGGTGGGAATATGCGAGACCTTTGCCAGACGTCTACCAGTCAGAGTTGCTGGGCCCCCGTTGTCACCCCTCACTCGCAGTGACGCCGTGCTCGCTCTCCCCCTTGAGGCCCATGAAGTGTAGTGTATCGAGGCTGAACGGCCGATTGCTCACAGCAGTCAGCGCATCGAGAGACCGCCTCAGCAGTGGATCGCGTAAGTCTTCGTCTGTCGCCGCGCCGTTTGTTCCGACGCGCGGCCCTACGTCTTGCGGAGGGCGCCGCGGCCACCAGGGCAAGCGCCGCCGCGGACGCGGTGGGTTTGCCGTGGGTGTGTCGCGGTGTGGGCATCGTCTATCTGGGCGCGTCGAGAACAAACGGCGCGGCGACATTTGTTCTCTTGAGCCAGGCGCGAAGATAACCTCCAAGCGTGCTTTGAGATAATAAGGGATGAGTTCCCCATGCGCGTCCTGGTGCTTAGCGCTGACCTCGCTGACTATGGAGAGATTTTGGGATCTCACGAGAGAACACACGGCGACCATGTAGCTTTCTGGGGTCAAGCAAGGATGCGTTCAGGGGGTGATCCTGGCCCCCCCCCTGTGAAACTGCGCTGCCAGACATTTGCCTCTTACCCTGGGGGGACCAGTCGAGACCGCTCCAACCCCTTCGCTCCATCCCTCTCCCGTGGGAGCCCCCCCATTTTTTTAGCCAGCAAGTGAGGCTGGGAAACCCGCTCCTCCGCGCGAACATTGAGTCCCTTAACATCTGTTGGACCGCCGGAGTGTCAGCTATCATTGAGCACCCAGCTGCCAGCACCTCTGTCCCCCAGGCCCCTAACCTCTGGAGACTCCCTCACATGTGTGCTTTGCTCGAACAGTTGAAAGTTGTGCCTACGAGGACTTATCAGTCCTCCTTGGGTCCCCCTCCCTCGAGTCCACGGGAATGCTGGGGGTTTGTTGCCCCTTTCTTCAGCATGGCATCGTGCTTGCTCCTGGGGGGGAGGTGCTTGGGTGGGCATGCTCACAGAACGCTCAGGGGTAAGGAGGCGGATGGAGATGGTGTGCTGCCCAGGCCAACGCGTGCCGACTGCCTTTGTGCAGAGTGCTGGCTCGCACCGTGGCCCAAGAGGCCCTCAGACGGTCCCCGCGTCTTGCTTTCAGAGTTCGGGGATATAGATTTGGATGATGTGGCATCTGAGTTGTTGCAGTTTTGCACCCCCTTGACCCGTATGCCCTGCGTAACATGGGAAGAGGCTGCACTTCATAACGGGCGGTATGGGCATTTGGACAGCTAACGGTGGGCGCGGGTCCCAGGGCCCTTGCTCAGGATGCGGGCGCCCCCTCCCGTCCCTCTTGCTGCTTTCATTGCCCTTCCATGCTTTCCTGCGCTTGCGGCCGTCTGAGCGATTGTAAAAAGGAGCTGGTGGAGGCGACGACCTTGTCACCATTCTACTTTCCTCCTTCTCCTACGCAAGGGTAGAACCTATGAGCCCTCATGAAGCGAGCGAACAAGCAAGGAGGAGGAGGAGGAGGAGGAGGAAGAGGAGGAGGAGGAGGCGGAGGAGGAGGAGGAGGAGAAGGAGGAGGAGGAGTAATAACAGTCATAATACAACTAATAATGAAACTCACAACAATAGTAATATTATTAATCATACCACACAAAAAGGAATAAGACGAATCATACCATACTGACAATAGCATTAAGCCGAGGAACAATATTACTCATGCTAAGAAGAGGAGGAGGAGGAGGAGGAGGAGGAGCAGGAGCAGGAGGAGGAGGAGAAGGAGGAGGCGGAGGAGGGGGAGGAGGAGGAGGAGGAGGAGGAGGAGGAGGAAGAGGAAGAGGATTGCCCGCAGGCTGCGGAGCGCCTGGAGAGGGAGGCGCGGGACAGGCAGGAGGCGCTGGCGGACCTCACGGCCAGCACCAAGGCCGCGCTCTCCGAGGCCCACGCGCACGCTCCCTGCCGCTAGGCCCTGCTGGTTTGGATCGCGTGCCCCTGCTTCCCCTTCCACTTCTGGCTTGCACCAGGACTTCCTCCTCCTCCTCCTCCTCCTCCTCCTCCTCCTCTTCCTCCCAGGACTCAGGTCTCAGGAGTCAGGACTAGCTGCTTGGGGTTCGGTGATGAACGCTGTCACCCCCACCATCCCCCAGCGGCGGTCGCCTCTGGGGGTGGCATGATCAAGTTAGGTCGAGGCAAGATAGGAAGGCGCAAAAGGAGGGCACTCCTCTTCCTCCTCCGGTGCTGTCTCTCGAATTTCTGATGCATGTGTTTTTATTTCGTACGTGCCAGATCCAGGAGGCCATGGTCTGACGCACCTTGTCTCAGTTAGGTCCGGGCAGCTGTCTGCTGAGGTGTTTCGTTCGCTCTGGTTTCCACTTGTTGGGCCCGCGTCGTCGTCGCCGTCGTCGTCGTCGCCAGCGTCGTCGTTTTCGTCGTCGTCGTCGTAGCAGGAGGAAAAGACGGCGAGAGGGGGTGCAGGCCGAAAGGACGAGGAGGACAAATATGATGATGACTAGAAGGAGGAGGAGGAAGATGAGGAGGAGGAGGAGAAGAAGGAGGAGGGGGAGGACGATAACCAGCGTAAGCCCAAGACGCAGCAACGATGTTCCTAATACGCCCTTCCTCCAAGCAATATGCCTCTTTGTAGGCCCAATACACGAATGTATGATCACTGCGGGAGTGTCACATTGAAAATCACCCGTTTGAGAAACCTCGAACGTGTCAAAACTCAGTTCTTTGGATTTCAGCGCCGCGAATCAACGTGACTGTCGCGTTCTGACTGTCTCAACCGTGCTGGGACCCCGTTCCTGGGAGTTCAGCGCCGCGAATCAAAGTGACAGCTGCGTTCTGACAGTCCTAAATCGTTCCAAAACATTATTCCTGGGATTTAACCATGCTGATCCGTGGAATGGTTGTACAGTTTTAAGACGTGCGTGCGCGGCGCTGGGGCGAGGGCCAAGCTTTGAAAAGGAGCCGCAGCCCCTCCTTGAATAGCCAGACTTTGACGACGAGCTTGCGCGGTGCTGTGGCGATAACTACATGTTGAAAACGGCCCGCCCTCGATTTGTGAAACGGCTGCATACTTTTAGAACGAATGCGAGCTACGCTAAGGCGAAAACCACATTTTGAAATCTTCCCACCCCTTTCATCCGTGAAGCTGCTGCAGGTTTCGAGCTTCAGGATCATATCTGGTTAGGAAGTCTCAGGCAAACGGCCTGGTCCGCCCTACCAAATCGCGTGGGGGTGCGACAGGTGGGACTTACCTGTCAACTTATTTGCCAGGAACAGGGATGGAGGAGGGGGAGGAAGAGAAGGAGGAGGAGGAGGATGAGGATGGATGAGAAAGAGGAGGAAGAAGAGGATGATGAGGAGGATAAGGACGATGAGTTGTTGTTGCTGTTGCTGTTGCTGTTGCCGCTGCTGTTGTTGTTGTTGTTGTTGTTGTTGTTTATGTTGTCGTTGTTGCAAACGTCGTTGTTGTTGGTGTTGCTGTTATTACTGTTGTTGTTGTTGGTGTTGCTACTGTTGTTGTTGTTGCTGCTGTTAGCAGTGCTGTTGGTATGTTTGTTGTTGTTGCTGCCGGTGTGGTTGTTGAAGTTGTTGTTATTGTTGGTGCTGTTATTGTTGTTGCTGTTGCTGCTGTTGTTGTTGTTGTTGTTGTTGTTGTTGTTGTAGTAGTAGTAGTAGTAGTAGTAGTTGTTGTTGTTGTTGTTGTTTATGTTGTTGTTTATGTTGTTGTTTGGGTTGGTGTTGCTGCTGCTGCTGTTGTCGTGGTTGTTGTTGTTGTTGCTGCTGTTGCTGGTGTTGTTGTTGTTGCTGTCGCGGATGCTGGTTTTGTTGTCGTTTTGTGTTGTTGTTGTTGCTGTTGTTGTTGTGGTTGTTGTTGTTGTTGTTGTTGTTGTTGTTGTTGTTGTTGTTGTTGTAGCTGTTGCAGATGTTGTTGTTGCTGCTGCTGTTGCTGTTGTTGTTGTAGGATGAGGAGGAGGGACATGAGGGCGAGGGAAAGAAACAAGAGGAGGAGGAGGAGGAGGAGGAGGGGAGGAGGAGGAGGAGGATATTCTAGCAGGAGGAGGGGGAGGAGGAGGGGGAGGGAGGAGGAGGAGGAGGAGGAGGAGGAGGAGGAGGAGGAGGAGGAGGAGGAGGAGGAAGAGGAAGAGGATTGCCCGCAGGCTGCGGAGCGCCTGGAGAGGGAGGTGCGGGACAGACAGGAGGCTCTGGCGGACCTCGCGGCCAGCACCAGGGCCGCGCTCTCCGAGGCTCACGCGCGCGCGTGCGCCCTGCCGCTCGGCCCTGCTGGTTGGGATCGCGTGCCCCCGCTTCCCTTTCCAATTCTGGCTTGCGCCAGAAAGGGCTCACTCAGGTTCTAGGAGTCAGGACTGGCTGCTTTGGGGTTCGGTGATGAACGCTGCCATCCGCCGAGGAGGAGGAGGAGGAGGAGGAAGAGGAGGAGGAGGAGGATGAGGAGGAGGACGAAGAGGAGGAGGAGGAGGACTATGAGGGGGATGAGGAGAAGGAAGGATAAGGAAAAGGAACATGAGGATGCGCTCCAGGAGGCGGGCGAGGAAGAGGAAGAGTTGGAGGAGGAGGATAAGGAGGAGGAGACGGACGAGGAGACGGAGGAGGAGGAGGAGGAGGAGGAGGGAGGAGGAGGAGGAGGAGGAGGAGGAGGGAGGAGGAGGAGGAGAAGGATGAACATGAGGAGGAGGAGGAGAAGGAGTAGGAACAGAAGGAGGAGGAGGAGGAACAGTACGAGGAAGAGGAGGAGGAAGATGATGATGATGATGATGCTGATGATGATGCTGATGCTGCTACTGCTGATGATGATGATGATGATTATGATGATGATGATAATGAGGAGGAGGAGGAGGAGGACCAGTGTAAACCCAAGTGGCATCAGCGATGTTGGAATCAACCCTCCCTCCAAGCTCCCTCTTCATAGGCCCCATACGACGGTTCATATCTACTGAGGGAGCTGCCTCGTTAGAAGACAACCGTTTGAAGACCCTGAGGCATGCCAACACAGTGTTCTCGGCATTCCACCGCCACGGATCAACTTGACTGTTGCGTCTTGACGATCCTGAATCGTGCCAGGACGCCATTCTTGGGCTTTTGACACAGCGAACCAACGTAACTGTTGCACCCTCATATTCTTGAGTCCTTCCAGAACGCCGTTTCTGGTACGTTGATCATGGGACACCCGTGACACTCATGCAATTGTCAAACAAAAAACGAGCGTGCGCGGCGCTAAGGCGAGAGCCACATTTTCAAAAGGAACCGCCCACAGTCCGTGAAACCTTTGCATTATTTAACACGAATGCGCGGCGCTAAGACGAGAGCCACATGCTGAAAACGACTCGCCCTCCATCCGTGCAACCCTTGCATCAAAATACGAATGTGCGCGGCGCTAAGGCGAGAGCCGCATTTTGAAAACGACCCGCCCTCAATCAGTGAAGCTTTTCTTTTTTTGATACGAATGTGCACGGCGACAAGGCGAGAGCCACATTTTGAAAACGGCCCGCCTTCCATCTGTGAGGTTGTTGACATTTTTCAAGCTTCAGGGTCATAAGTGGTGAAGAAGTCTCAGGCGAAATGCCCTGCCCGCCTTACAAATTAGCCTCGGGGTGCGACAGGAACAATTATTTTGAAGGAAGACTATAAGGAAAATGACTGGAGGAGGAGGAAGAGGAGGAGGAGGCGCATTACCAGTGTAAATTCCAGACCCTTCAACAATGTCGCAATACACCCTTCTGCCAGGTTCTCCCTTCGTAGGTCCCTACAATGGTTCATTCTTGCTGAGGGAAGTGCTCCGTTGGAAGACAACCGTTTGAAAATCCTGAACCGTGCTGCAACACCACTTTTTGGTCGTCAGCGCTCCAGATCAACGTTGCTGTTGCGTCCCGAATATCTTGAATCGCGCCAGAAAACACTTTTGGGAACTTCAGTACGGCGAATCAGCGTGACTCTTGCGCCCTGACAGTCCTACATTGTGCCAAGGCACCATGTGTGCGACGTAAACCACAAGAATCCTTGAAACTCGTCTAAACTCTTAAGACGAATGTACGCGGTGTTATGGTGAGAGGCACAGTGCAAAAATGAGCCGCCCTCCATTCGGGAAGTTATGTCCGACTTTTAATGCCGATTTGCGCGGCGTTCAGGCGAGAGCCACATTCTGAAAACGGCCCGCCCTCCAGCCGTAAAGCTCTTGCAAACGTTTGAGCTTAATGATTATAGATGGTGCGGAAGTCTCAGGCGAAACGCCCGGTCCGCCTTACCGGCGCATCTCAGGGTGCCGCAGGGATGAGTTGTTTGTAAGGAAATGCTCGCGGTCTCCAGGGTGCGGCCGCTGTGGGCGGGCGGCGCGTCTGGGCTCCCAGAGGAGGTGTACTCTGGACGGGCTTCCGCGCGCCACGCGCAAAAACGGCCCTTCGTCACATTGACCGCTGGTGCGGGCCTGCTGCGGCTCCTCTGGGCGTCGAATGCAATGCGGCAGCCTCGGCCTGCGCGCCTGGGTCTTCCCGCCCCCCTCCACTCGCGCCCCCGCCTTCAGCCGCGCGCTGAAGGTCACTCTTGTCCATGGTCACTCGGTTGCGTGTAGCCGGCTCCAGCTGTTCTGAGCGTGCTCCTCTTCCCTTCCGCGCTCCTCCTCGTCTTGTTGCTTGCGGTGCCCAGTTCGGCCCCGTGCATCTCATGGCTGTCCCCGAGCGCCGAGAGGACTCGCTGCTGCGACGAAAGCCGACTCCAGGTCTGCATGGAGCAGCTCTAGCGCGCGTGGCACATCGGGTGACCAGGAGTCACGGAAACCTCGTGAACTGCGGGCTGCAGCGGAGCATCCGACAGTGGTGATCGCGGTCACGATGGGCTCACAATGTCACGCGTTAGGCTACGCTGGTTGCGTGGCACATGTCGCGAGTGTATGAAATTTCGCTTGCAGCCAACCTCGATGATAACAAATCCGCTGATGCGATATCTTGCGTGGGGAGACACGGGTACGCTTCTTCACCTGAATTATGTGCTTCGGACCACGGCGAAGGGCATCAAGGATGCTGCGATGCTTGAAGACATTTTGCGCGTCATAGAAACATCATGCTATCAACGTTTTCTGTTGCGTATTCGGCCAATCAGGGAAGACGGTCGTCTTGAATCTCCGCCTGTGTTGTTTTCCCAAGGATTGCCATGCGAAGGGAACATCAAATCGAGCCGAGTGGCCCGCGCGGTGTGGGCCACTCGACCACGCCTTCGCGGAAGCTGTATGCACAATGCTGACGGCCTCCATATCGCGTCCGCCCATCTTTCAGAAGACCGGCGCCTAAGCATTGTATACGTGTTCTTCAGTCCGGGTGGTTTGTGTTATACCATGCAGCAGTATGGCGAGCAGCATTTTCGATTCGCTCGCAGCGGCCACTTCTCCAATCATCCTTCCACTCTATCTGGCATTGCGTATTCACCACATGCTCTCATGTTGTGCAGGGTGTGGTCCATTCGTGCTCTCATATTTCTCGACCGCCTTGCTTTTCCACTTGCTTTCTCCGTGCTTCTGCAGGTGAGGACCGAGCTTGGCACCGTGATCCAGGCTCGGTCCGCGGGTAAATTAAGTCACTGACTCAAGCAGCACCATGCAAGGGAGAGATTCGACTCGGTGTCATGCCGATGTTGAGGAAGTCTCTCGCAGTTTGGACCGCCCACGTGCTCGAATGTTCTCGACAGGCCCATTGAGTTATACATTCGGGCTCCGCGACATGACCAGCGCGCCTCGGTGCAATTGTCGCTTCATTTCTTGTCGCACGCCCCGTCCTCTTCACCTGGCCTTGAGGTCTCGCAGTATTGCAAGGGGCGTTGTATAACATGTAGTGGTGAGTGGGTGTAAATGATAGGCAGGCTCGGGCCAGAGGCGAAGAGGTGATTGCACATGAGGCTAGATGGTGTCGGCGGGCAGACAGGGCGCCGCCAGCTTCAAGGATGCTGCAGGAGGAAGTGGGGGAACGAGGAGGATGAGGATGAGGACAAGGATGAGGACGATAATGAGGATAGTGATGATGATAAAGATGATGATGAGGAGGAGGCGAAGTAGGAGGAGGCCGAGGAGGAGGAGGAGAGAAGAGCAGAGAAGAGGAGGGATGAAAAGGAGGCGAAGGAGGAGGATGAGGAGGAGGAGGAGGTGGAGGTGGATTAAGACGAGGAGGAGGACACCCTTCCTTCAAGCTCCCTTATGATAGGTTCGTGATAGAATTCCTTTTCATTTCGGGAAGTGGCCCATGAGAAGGCAACCGTCCAAGAATTCTCCATCCTGCCAGCACAGCGTTAATTGGACTTCCACGCCGCGGATCAACGTGACTCTTGCGGCCTGACGTTTCTCAATCGTGGCAGAACTGCATTCCGGGGACTTCAGCGCCGCGAATCCACGTGTCAGTTGCGTCCTGACAGTTCGACATCGTGCCAGAAAACAGGTCTGTGGACTTCGACCATACGATTCCTGGAAGCAGCTGCTGACTTTTGAGACGAATGTGTGCGGCGCTCGGGCGAGAGCCACATTTTGAAACCGAGCCGCCTTACATCCGTGAAACTGCCGCGCACTTTCATGACAAATGCTCGCGCCGCTGAGGCCAGAGCTACGTTTTGAAAACGAGCCGCCCTCCACCCGTGAGTGTGCGCGGCACTCACGCGAGAACAATTGAAAACGAGCCGCCTTCCATCAGTGAAGCTGTTGCAGATTTTAAGACGAATGTGCGTGGCACTCTCGCGAGAGCAACATTTGAAAACGGGCCGCCCTCCGTCAGTGATGCTGTTGCAGACTTGTGAAACGAATGCGTGCGGCGCCCGGGAGAGAGCAAAATTTTGAAAACGGGCCGCACTCCATCAGCGAATCTGTTGTAGATTTTTAAGACGAATGTGCGCGGCGCCCGGGCGAGAGCTACATTTTGAAAACGGGCCGCCCTCCCTTTTTGAAACTGTTGCAAACTTTGAGACGAATGTGCGCGATGCTAGGACGAGAGCTAAATTTTGAAAAAGGACCCGCCATCCATCCTTGAAGCTGCTGCGAACTTTTAAAATGAATGTGCGCGGCGCTCAGGCGAGAACCATACTTTTAAAACCACCAGCCCTCCATCTGCGCAGCTGTTGCAAGTTTCAAGAGTCAGGAACACAAATGGCGAGGATGTGTCAGGCGAAACGCCCCGCCCTTCCTACCGACACATCTGGGGATTGCGACAGGGGAATTATGCAAAGGGAAACGGGACGGAGGAGGAGGAGGACGATGACAAGGATAATGATTTCGAGGGGGAGGATGAGGTGGTGGACGAGCATTATAGCAAGGAGGTGGATTTGGCACAGAATTTTCCACTCAAGCCATATTCGACTCAAGATGTCATGCTGCCACATCTGTCCATACGCGCGACATCCGGCGGGGGGCCTCGAGACAGCGCTGTTCCCCTCGAAGTGGCAATCCAGAACTGTGGTCGAACAAAACAATGGAGCGCAGCACTGCAGTTGCTCCGCGAAGGCGTTCAAACTGGCAAGACAGTCTCCCAAGTCCAATACCTGGCGGCTGTCAGCGTATGCAGAAGAGGCAGGCAATGGCAGTGGGCACTGTCGGTGCTCAGTGAGATGTGGGGGTCGGAGGTGGAGCCTGACGTCATTAGCTACAGCGCTGGGATCAGCGCGTGCGAGATGGGCCAGCAGTGGCAGCGGGCTCTGTCGCTGCTCAGCGACATAGCGGAGGCGAGGCTGGAGCCCGACGTCGTCTCTCGTACAATGCGGCAAACTGCGCGTGCGAGAAGGATCTGTGTCCAGAGTGGCTCTCTTTGATCCCCTTGGCCGCTCTCGGAGCCGCCCAGAACATGTCCCTGGCACCTCCTGAAGCAGTCCTCCCAGGACGGCTCCGTAGTGCCCTCTGGACGTTCTCCCACGGCCCCGGTGGGCTCGCAGGGTGTTCTCGGAGGCCTCGGGCGGTTCCGGGGCGGCCCCAAGGAGCCACCAGGACAGCCCAAGTTGTCGCCGAGGTGGCCCCAAGGTAGCTTCGCCGAGGGCCCCCGAGAAGCGACAACCATGATACTATTCTTATTTTGTTTTCGCACACTTCCCCTGCTCCCCCAAGATTCGTTACCGCATCGCTCCGCCGAGGGCCCGAGGCGCCTCCACGAGGGCCCAAGACGCCCAAGCTGGGCCCACAAGTGCCCCCAGGATTGCCACTGACGCCCCGAAGGAAGGCCCAAGATGGGGCCAGCCATCCTTCTTTCTTGTTCCAAGACGGCCCCAGGACAGCTCAGAAAGCCCCAAGATCGCCCCCAGGAACTTCGGGGCGCCCCCGGGCCCCACCCTCGAGAGCACCCAGAGGGCTCAGGGGATGCCCAGGTCGCTCCAGGAAGCCAGAAACGTCACATGAAGGCCCCAAGGAGGCATCAAGAAGGCCCCAAGATGGTTCCAAGAGGCCCTATGAGCGATCCAAGAGGAGACCACGTGTTTGGTCATACGCGCATCGAGGCCTTTGGGAGGTTCGTGTGCTGCACGCTGCTCAAGCCTTCCTCACTGCTCTTCTCTCCTCGCCCCCCTCCTCTCTCCTCGCTCCTTGCTCCTCTCTTCTCACTCCTCCGCGCTTCTTTCTCCTGGCCCTTACCTCTTTGCTTTTGGTCGTTCGCACCTCTTTCTCCCCCTCCTCCCTCTTTAGCTCTCCCTCCTCTCTCCTTGCCCCTCTATGCTTTGCCGTCGCTCCTGCCTTCTCGCTTGTTGCTCCCCGTTGATTGCTCTTCGTCCTCCGCCCCGATCCTCTCACAAGCAGCAGGTTGCGTCAGCACGCAGAAGCTTGCGCATCGCCGCGGCCGCGCTAGCCCGCGTGCTCGCGCGCAACGCGGCCAGTTTTTTTTTTGCGCGGACGACGCGGCCGCGATGGCGCTGACCGCTGGGCACTTCTCTGCGGGCACTTCAGAGCGAATCGGCGACTTGGGCGGGCGCGGTATCACGGCAACGTCGACAACGGTAGTCGCGATGATGACCGTAGTGATACTGGTGATGATAATGGCAACGACGACGGCGCGGCCAGTGACGGCGCCGATGCTGATCACGCCGGCGACGATGACGGCGTCCTCGCGTCGGCGATGAAGGTTCGGGAAGGAGGTCGGCATGCGTGCGCTGCCGACGCGCGAGAGTGACCCGCATGGAATTTTTTGACGCTCATCGTGCCCCCCCAGCACGCACGCAAGGACGTCCAAATGATGTCGACAGGCGGCGCGAAAGGCCCGTTTGGCAGAATGTAAAGAGAGTTTTGACAAACCTATAGTGTTCTTGCGAATCTCGCAGGGCCGCAAGCGCAGGCTTTTTCGCAATCGGAAATTGCAAGACATGCTTTTCCTGTTTTGCAGAATGTCTTCGGGACGCAGGGTTTTGAAGTTTTTTCGGTGCCCGTGGTTTTTGGAGGATTCATGTGGCATGCGCGTGTGACGACTCGCGCGCATGCACGTTGTCCTGTTTTTGCAATGGGTTTGGGGGACCGCGCGCGCGCGCAAAGGGCGTTCTTGCGATTCTGACACGCGCGCGCGAGAGGCCCACTTGGTCGCAAGTTATGGGCCTGACACATTTCTCCAACAAGTAGCAACATCGCGGGTGCATTGTTTGTTGGGAAAAGCGGTCCCGGCACCTTATGTTTTTGTTTCCAACCATCCTGTGGTGTTGGGTCCACGTTTTGAAGAGACAGCGCCCCGCGTCACTCACTCACTCCTCCTCGCCCTCCCCCCATCCACCGCCCGCGTGCGTCACCCGCGCCCATGTTTGCACACCCGTCACACGTTTCGTGGCCCCAGAGGGAGCTCCTCCGAAGGCCACAGTGCCACTCCGTAACCATTTTGGCTCAAACCGTTCCCTGTGTTCGCTCTCTTTTTGGGCCCCGCGGGAGGCCGCAGAGTCGCGCGCGCTTGGGATATAGCTGCGGACGGCTGCCACGCTGCCCGTGTGGCGGCAGAGCAGCCTCGGATGGTAGGTGCTGCCTGCCGCTTCTCTCTGGCCAGCGCGCCGTGTTTGCCAGGCGGCAGCGCGCGGCGCCGTCCAGGGGAAGCTGTCGTCCGCCCTCGTGCGCGTGCAGGCGCTCGATTCCAAGGTCGCGGGAGGGAGGTGCGCGCGGGAGGTGCGCGACGCGGCGGCCCAGCAGGCTGTGGCCCTGGCAGGCGCTGGCGCGACTGGGGAGGTGGGCGATTGGCTGGCTGGAGAGCTGATTGGTCGGCTCGCCCTCGAAGCGCCGCTCCTCGCAGCGGGCCTGGCCGCGGAACAGGGGAGCGCGGCTTCCCCGTGCGTGCCGACGCTGGGCAAACAGAGGCGCAGCGCGGCGGCGCACGTCTTCGACATTGCGGTGGCGGTGATCGAGAAGGCGGGCAGGGCGGAATTTGACGCCATTCAGCGCAGTTCTGGGCGCCGCCTTCGTTCGACCGCAAGGCGGGGCCGCGGTTGCGGTCGGCTACTTCGTGGTGCGGGCGCTAGTGGCGGTGCTCATCCTCCGCGCCGCCCCGCTGGCGCTGCTCTGCAATCTGGATGGCGCAGACGCTGAGTGCGCAGGCCGCTGTCGGCGACGGCGGCGCACGCTCGCCGCGT